TACATATAGATATATATATCGTCAAATAGAACTGCCCGGTAAACCGTAGGCAGAGAGGGAGAAGAGGACAACAAACGAGGGGCTGTGACAAACTGTTTCGTCGGAGTTTCACCGACTCATCAGGAGGCTGAAATATATATATATATATTGTCACATAACTATGAACTAAAAGAGCACACTTTGCGAAACAAAAGGCAAAAATAACAAATTCAAAAACAAGACAAACATGAAGGGCACACTGAAACCATTGAGTTTTCTCATTCTTCTTTCAACTCCCCCTTCACCGTGCCTCTCATGTACAAGGCTCGCCACGTTGATGAAGCTGAGCGCGAGCTGCCCCCATCCCCGTGTACCATAACGGCCCACTTGTACGCTGTGAGAAAGAGGCAGAGTGAAGGGGGAGGGGATAAACACGGAGGAGAGATGGAGAGCAGACAAACAAAGAACGATAAAGGGAAAGTGAGGGAAAGGACAGAGTGTGGCGTGAAGATGAAGGCATAAGAGGATAAGAAAAGCCTCAAGAATGAGTCTGTCCTTGACGACAGAGAGGACATACATTGTAAGGATGAGGTGGATGAAGACCTAGCTGAGCATTCTCAGTGCAACAATTGCCACGACGGCTGGCATTGAGCATGCCCACCATACACCCCCGACAAATGGCATGTCGATTGCAGGCCAAAATGAAGGAAGAACGGTCACCACAAAAGACAGTATAGCGCCCATGGCCGCAAAATGGACATATAGCGTCCGGATGCGGAGGGTGCCTGCAGTATATATATATAGGGTTCAGCCTCCTGATGAGTCGGTGAACGTAGGCAGAGAGAGAGAAGAGGACAACAAACGAGGGGCTGTGACAATATATATACATATATATATTGCCGCAGAACTATTGACTAAGAGCGCAAACACGTGAAGTAAAAGAAGAAATAAGATGAGCGAAGAAAAGAAAAAATGAAACGATAGACAGGCAAAGAGACAGACAAACCAGAAAGACACAAAGAAAACAGTGTTGTCTTATATATAGTCAAACAGAGCTGCTCGGTAAACCGTAGACAGAGAGGGAGGGAGAAGAGGACAACAAACGAGGGGCTGTGACAAACTGTTTCATCGGAGTTTATAGATATATGATGGGGTGCAAACCGACAGCCTGTAGAGTTTTCCATCTGGGTGTGAATGAGTGATAGTCTGCTTTGGTTTTCATCACAGGTACCTTGAGGGCAGTGGTTGGTGTCCACCTCAAGGTATCAGTTGTCAGGCAGTCGTTGATGCTTAACCACAACCGGGGTTAAGGTGGATTATCACGTACAGTGTAATCAGTTAGGGGATTCTGCAGACTGTTGAGGGTTCAGCTCCTGATGAGTCAGTGAAACTCCGACGAAACAGTTTCTCACAGCCCCTCATTTGTTGTCCTCTTCTCCCTTCCTCTCTGCTTACGGTTTACCCGGCAGCTCTGTTTGATGATATACGTCATGAAACAGAGCTGCCCGGTAAACCGTAGGCATAGAGGGAGAAGAGGACAGATGCTTACGGTTTACCCGGCAGCTCTGTTTGATGATATACGTCATGAAACAGAGCTGCCCGGTAAACCGTAGTCATAGAGGGAGAAGAGGACAGACAAGGGGCTGTGACAAACTGTTTCATCGGAGTTTCACCGACTCGTCAGGAGGCTGCACCCTCAACAGTCTGCAGAATCCCCTAACTGATTACGCTGTAAGTGATATATATATATACTCTTTCTAATTCTTCTTTCTACCTCTTTTTCTTTGCTTTGCTCTTCCCCATTTTGGGGGTATTTCGTTTTGCGGACCTGCTGTATGGTTCCGTTTTTTTACCATGGTTATGGAAGAATTTGTTTCGGTATTTTTGGCACCTTTGTCTGCATCCTGGTTGATTTCGTCCCGTTGTTCTGTCCACGTTAGGACATCCGTGGCGGTGTTTTCGTGTGGGACCTGTTTTTCTTATCCTTTTGGCATCCTAGTTGGCTGTTTCCCGTTGTTCGGCCTTGGTGCGATGAGGCGGTGCTTTTCTGTGGAAATCCGCATCTGGGATTGTCTTTTATATGTTTTTTTTGCCGTTGGTGGTGTCCCAGTATAGTAGTTTAGACCAGAGGCAACCAACCAATCAATCAATTCTGGACAAATGCAACCAAAGGCTCAAATCAATCATCCAACCAAGCAATCATCCAATCAATCAAGCATCCAATCTTCAAAATGTGTATGTGTAAATAGTGTAAAGGTATCTTCCTTCTGTAATAATTTTGGACGGGGGTAATCAATACAATGATGGACTGTCTTCGGCTCCCCATTTTTGGGATGAATTGATTTCTGAAATCAAAGCGCCGCAAAACTAATCAACCGTCATTAACCGATAGATCAATCAATCAATCAATCATCAGCCAATCAAAGCTTCATGAGAATAACTCATGCAATCAAACAATCAATCAATCAATAAATAAATAATTCAATCAACCGGTTCATCGATCACGATATTCGTCCCCCGGCAAAAAAAAAATCAACCGGGTCATCTTACTCGATAGATCAATCAATCAATCAATCAATCAATCAATCAATCAATCAGCCAATCAATCAATCAATCAGCCAATCAATCAGCCAATCAATCAATCAGTCAGCCAATCAAAGCTTCTTCACGTGAGCTCTCATGAAATCAATCGATCAATCAATCAACAAACCAGTTAATCAATGGGTGATATCATTAAGATATCAGCCAATTAAACGGCAACCGATAGACCAATCAACCAACCAACCACACGTCAACCAATAGACCAATCAACAAACCACTCAAGAAGCAATCATCCAATCATGTCATCAACCGATGGATCAACCAACTCCTACCATCCAATCATCAAAAGACCCCCCAATCAACTAGTCCATTATCATTCTACAAGTCAAAATCATCCATCCAATCAATCCATAGAGCGATCTTACTAATCAGACGATCGTCTAATCACTCGACCAATCCCTTCAATCTGCTCCTTTGTCAACCAATCAATCAACCAATCAATCAACCAATCAATCAACCAATCAATCAACCAATCAATCAATCAACCAATCAATCAACCAATCAATCAACCAATCAATCAACCAATCAATCCAGCAAGCAATCAAGCAAGCAATCAAACAATCAAGCAAGCAAGCAACAACAATCACTTTTGGGTCACTCTTCCATCGAGATTTAATTCACCGTTATAATATATAAAAAAAAAAGAGATTTACTTTACCGCGTTGTTTCAATGACCGCTACAACGAGATCTTCATCAACCGTCTTCACCCGAACGTAACGACCAGTCTTCGTTATGACTGAATTTGGGGCAACTTTCAGTCTAGATACAGGGATAATGACCAGGCGTTCTATTCGGGTGAGGTGAAGACGGTACCTACATTGTGGAAAGTGAGGGAGCGACTGAAGAGTCGGCCTCGGTCGGGACGTCACCATGTGGTTCCAACTGATAGACCAATCAAGCGATCATCCAATCAACCGATAGACCAATCAAGCCATCATCCAACCGTTGGACCAATCAAACTGATAGACCAATCAAGTGATCATCCAATGAACTGATAGACCAATCAATCGATCATCCAATCAATTGATATACCAATCAACCGATGGACTAATCAACCAACCAATCAATCTATGAGCGGGAGTAGTTCACACAAACAGAAAAGCACACGACAAAAGATGTGAATTGTCAGAAAGAATGAACCTTCACATTGGTCATTGACCAAATCCTTGCACCAATG